AGGCCGGATTAGGGGCATGCAAGAAAGATTGAGACGAGAAAATGGAGAAGTCGGAAGGAGTAGAGCGAGGGTGAGAGATGAGACATTAAAACAGGGCGAGAGATAGGAGGAGAGATACAGTGGAGAGAGGGGAGGAATACAGTATAGAGGTTGGGAGAGGTACTAAACTGTTTTTATTTTAACAGGGAGCCATTATTTTACCAGGGAGCCATAGAGCTATTTTTCAGAAGAGACCTGGCCACAAATGATAGCTAAACGAAGTGATTCATCACGTGTGCATTTATAGCAGCGACATATCATAAACGCGTATTTCGAAATGTGGAGGGGGAAACCGGACCTGGAGGAAAAAAAATGCACGCAACCACTGGGGAGAGAGAGAGAGAGAGACAGGCGTCAGTTTCGGGATCAAACCCACGACATCCTGTATACCAAGCGAGGTAGTCAACATCTCGCCATCGCGACGCCGCTGAACACGCACCGAACAGTTTCCCTTGAGGTCGCCATCCACCGAGCCGACTCGGAACTTTGTCGGCCGAAGGATGAGACGGGTGAGGGCCTCGTCTGATCCCTTTCGGAGCCCCCCCCTGCCCCCCCCCCCCCCGTTGCCGCTGAGCCGGCAGCAGGCGGGCCCCCCCCCCCCCCCCCCCAGCAGACAAAACTCTGTCCCCTTGGGCTGTACGTTGGCGTCTTTCTCGCCTCACTCCCACGACCGTCACCATTCCGGCGGCGCTCACGCCGGAAAATTTCGCTTGCGCGCGACATCGCATCGCCCACACGGACACCGGCTCAGAAGGATCAGAGTCTGGGAGCGTCTCCGCAGAGAATGCGCAGCCCACTGGGGCTCCTGCCACGCACGTTAACCCCGTATTGTAATTCATGGTGTTCTCAAAAACTGCAGCACGATGTATATACAAAGACAAACATCTCGCCGTATAGCATTAACAGGCTGTTGGAGCAAGTGCTGTTAGCGAGCACCTATGAAGGCCGGCACGGCACACGAGGGGTGGGTGGCCAGCACCACGCCCGACCGCCTTTGTCTCCCCAGTGGCGATGTTTTTACACACCGCACCAGGTACTCATGAGGCTGAGTCGAACTAGGGGAAGCCCAGGACCGGTACAGATAATCGTCATTGGTGTTAACCGTGAGCGGGAATCGAACCCGGGTAGCGATATTCGAAGCGCAACACGCTAACCGCTACACCACCGCTCCCCACTACCGCAGCACGACACACACACACGAGATACACATGCACACAGTATGTATCGGAATACACCCCGCGTTTGTGCATTACACTTCAGGTAGGGCCTGCATGCCTTCCGGGTTCGTCCATCACACAAAAAAATCAAGCTGTACATATCCGATAGTGCACTTCTAATCTCTTACATATTCTTTCATCATTCATCTCACTGCCTGCACAAAGCAAGTCAAGCCACCCCGCGCACAGCATCCTGGTCGCTGTCAACCTCGGCGCAGGTACCGTACGAATCCTGCAGCAATGAAACAGAGGGGGGGGGGGGGGGAAAGAACAACCGTTTTTGATGCATAGTTTTGTTCGCTTGATTTTTTTATGTCGATGGGTTTCAAAATCGTACGTCCCCAAGTGTATTGTAAGAATATTGGCGGATGACATAAGACTATTGGTATGCGCGGCGGATGCCGCGGTGCCACATCGCTGCGTGTACATGCCCGAGGACGACTCATTCGCTCGTAGATATGATGCCCGCGAGCTCGCAAGATTGTGTCCCAGGTTGCTCTACGTTGTTCGCTCCCCCGTAGTTCACTCCGTCGAATCCAAAGTGATGGCTTTGCTCTCTCGAAAATAGTTGGGGGGAACATAATCTCAAGTGTGCCGCTGGATGGGAGGTGATGGTCCGGTGTTTGATGACATCGTCAGCCACATCACACTGGGCGTGAGTAATTGGCCACAAAAAAATAGATTTAAAAAAAACTTTTGGATCGATGATAACTTCATCAACTAATCGTCCCAGCTCAAGTTCAAGGTCTCCTTGCCAAGTCTCGATTGAATTATCTCCTCTCCACCACACAGGGTCCCGATTCATGTCCCTGGCTGTCTGGTCCTCGCTCTCCAACGAACCACGTCAAGTTGTGGGTGTGGATCCAGAATGAGGTCGGCCTAATGCGAGTTATGCTCCGTGTGGCAACTTTTAATTCCTCGAACAAAGACGGTGGTAACTGCACCCTCTGGAACGCTCTTCCTTATGGTATTAAGAGGCCACTGGAGCTATGTACTTTTAAATCTAGGTGGAAAACTAATTTCTTGCTTTTTTGTGTTTAGTTTGTGCGCCTTTTCCCGCTCGCCTCCGATGACCACGGTTGGCTACGTACGGTGCGACGAAAGTTCAACACACGCACATACATTCCCATCAGCTTCAACTCGGCCGTGATGGCGCAAACTCCATCTGACGATAGAAGCCTTGTTTTGCAGAGGGAACCCGTGCAGATTTTCAAACCTTGGCTGATTATCGGCGTCCTTTTCTGGAGCCGCACGGCAACAAAGCGGCAGGCAAGTGCACAATCGTGATGAATGGCCTCTCATGCTGATAAACAAGGTCATCCAGGCTGCCCTTGTGAGAGAAGAAAAAATTAGGCGGTGCAACTTTTTTGTTTATTGTTGTTGGTTTTAAGAAGCTGCCCGACTTTCAAAATAGCCAAGGGCGTTCGTTCTCTCGCAGCCAAACGCTTTCGCAGCGAGGCCCAAAACCCAGGTGGGCTCCTGGCCCGGCCTCTGTGTGCCCGGCGGGCTGCCGTGCCCCCCCCCCCCCCCCCACTGCCCCCGCCAGTATCTGGGCCATTCACCAAACCCACACTCATTTCTAAAGCAGCATTGGACGGAAGCGTCCCCTCAGAGCAGACTTCTGACACATGATCCAATTTAAATGTAAATAACTTCCCCTGCCGAGCGCAATGGAATCGATGCCAAAACGTCGCCGCGATCCCAACGTGCCCCCCGATACCCAGCGTGATGAGGAATAACGCCGTTCTGTTAAGTGCAATTTGTCCAGGGCTGACGCGGATAGACCGACACACGGAATAGGTCACCCGGCCAGTTTTTCAGGCTTTCCCCACCCCACACACCTCCAAAGAAAATAAACTTTCCACGCGTGTTTTCTCTCCGTTTCGGGCAAAGTGCGGTTTTCAGAGCGCGCCACGAGGATTGTTGCTCACGGCTTGGACCGGCTGCGGCTGCCTCGCTTGCCACACTAAACGCAATCACCAACACGTGCGATTCGCATGCAAGCTCGACGTGTAAAGATGAATTGGTGCAGCAGCAGTTCTACAAGCCCTGGAACTCATTACCAACTGGAGATACAAGGGGGGGGGGTTATGCCACCCAAGTTCTCAATGTAAAACTTATAGACTACGACCTCCTCTTGATACCAAGATCCAGGATGGTCATGTCTATGCGCCGCTTCTCGGTGGCAGCCCCAACAGTCTGGAACGATATCCCCTCTGCACATTCGCAGCATCACCTCAATCGCCTCCTTCAAGAGACACTTAAAAACTCACCTCTACAACCATGCTTTCCAGCGACTCTGAGCTTGGCTCCGCTGCCTCTGAGTTGCGGCCACTACGTCTGCAAATTTGCGCGCGTTACAAATTGAACTATTATTATTATTTTTATTAATGTTTCATTCAAGCTTCGTATGTAGCGCGTCTACACTAGAGCTTTGTGGATCACAACTTTAAACTATTAAAGATTGTTTTCTCTTTACCAGCTAAGGCCCACCAAGCAATACTAGCTCCTTTTTCAGAAGCGACCTGGCCACAAATGATCGCTCAACCCAAGTGGCTCATCATCACGTGAATATTTACAGCCGTCAAATACTCCAAATGCATCGTCGTGTCAGAAGACCTTGAACTTCACGCCGTCTCGGCAAATCCACTGCCCCACATCACTTCCGTCCACTATCTTCTTCACACGTGTCTGAAAGCACTCCCGCCAGCGCACGTGTACGCACAACCTCGCCACCGCTGCCCCTAAATCCACCACACCGACTCTCACCCCTCCTGTCCCCCCCCCTCACCACGTGGTGCTACTCACCCCGATGCTGCCTAGAATTCGCAGATTACTGGCGGCTCGCGGCTGCTCACGTGAGCTGCGTCGGATTGAAAGTGTGCGAGCGGACCTCAAACCGTGCAAGGTGCATGGGGCTAACGGAGAGTGGGGTTCAGGAGCAGAGCTGCAGGGAAATTCGGAGGCTAGGATTTTTTTTGTGATTTTTGTTTGGCTTTACACGTCGCACGGACGAGCTATATGCTGATGTGATCTTAGGAGACAAATATTTTTTTAACATTTAGACTTGGATGTCAAGTTTATAAACTTAAAAAAAAATCCATTGACAGATAACCATCTGGTAGATTGGCACGATTTGGGCCTCAGAATAACCCGTAACCTCGTGGACTGCGACTATCGAGGATGAATGGAGTTGCTAGTCAGGTGCCACGCTTTCCCTGTAATCAGAACATTTTTTCGCAGAATTGAATTATGCGGCCAATTCCTTCCATACTCTGCGCATAGCACAACTGGCACGAACTAATTCTGCGCATTATAAGTCTTAATCTTCGCGGTGCGCCACAGATCACAGGATCCGCAATGTAGGAGTACCGCCATATCAATATAGTCCACCCAAATCGATATGGACTCCCCCATACCAAAGCGGATTGTATTATTCGAGTTGTACCGTACGTACGTACGTACCCGTATTAACGGTTGTACCACACAGCCCGCCGACGCGTGTTGGGGGGTTGTAACCACCGCGTGCCGATTGGAACGACGTCCGACGTTTCGCTCCACGTTCCAGGAGCACCTTTTACAAGTCGTAATTGAAGCGTCGCTTTTCGGCACGATGACCGACGCTTCGCCTCCGGCATGCAACATCAAGCCAAGCAACATCAAGCCAAGCAACAACCCAGAAACGGATGCGAACGACGAGCTGTATACGATGGGCTCGCACACAGACACACCACCACCAACACCTTCCGCGTTGACATCTTTATTTGCCCTCAACTCAACCTCTGACAAAATATTTTACAAATTGCAAAGTTGTTTTTTTAAGCAAATAAAGTGCTTCCGTTTGTTCCTGAAGAACAAATGTACATTGTATTTAAAAAAACAGGTTCATGAGACACTGCTACGTAAGCAACAATTGTACACTGGAAACATAATATTGGTAATGCCACAGCAATCATCCTATGGAACACATTCCAGTTACGAATGTGGATTACAAAACTGCAATAACTTATCCACGGAGAGGTCTCGGAACCATGCTGGCAAGGGGGGACTTGTTGAAATGTTTATTTTCCTAAACACGCAGAATGTACACGATGCAATTTTAATAACCCAAAAACAAACTCTGTACACGTAACTTCAATATATGCACTGATTGAAATGGGTTTTATTTACACTTTTAATTCATACGTCAACCAAACTAGACCTACTAAACAAAATATGATTTTTTTTTACAAAATAGAAATGGATTTTTTGTTGTTTTTATTAAAAAATACATTTTTTTGTGTAGGACGCATGGCACTTGTATTCATTTAGCAAGGGGTTTAGTTTTAGCGGCAGGAAACTGTACACGCGATACAAAACACGTCCAAACGCAACGCCCCAGTCTTTCAAGACACACCGAGTTTGAAACAAAAGCCCAATTAACACATTTGCATATAGAAACATCTGTTACTTTTTTACCCCCCCCCCCCCCCCCACATTCTCCCCTCCTCGTGTTACCTAAATGCGTGCTGCTTTGGGGTAAGGATTAGGCCAGATGATTAGCTTTAACACGCACACACGCAAGCATACGCGTATATCACCACAGGCCCAACTCCGCCGAAGATCTAAGAACGGCAAGAAAACCGGTCGCACACATTTTCCTCCGGTGGAGGAAAAAAAAATATTCGCAAAGATTCACGAGGAGGAGGAGGAGGAAAAGAAGAAAATAAACTATCCCTTAAGCCAATTTGCCCGTTTTACATCTTTGAACCAAAAAATATGGCCACTTTGTTCATATTCAACAGAGATAAAGTAAAGACGAGCTCCACCACCAGTGCCGTCACACTGTGCAGTCGGGGGGCCCCAAGGAGAGATCGCCAGCCCTCCAACCGAGTCTCTCGCGCTCACCGCGGCGCGTGCCGCCCACCACCGCGTCTCGCCGGCTCACTGCGAGTCCCGGCCACCACCGAGTCTCGCCGGCTCACTGCGCGTGCCGCCCACCACCGCGTCTCGCCGGCTCACTGCGAGTCCCGGCCACCACCGAGTCTCGCCGGCTCACTGCGCGTGCCGCAATGCGGTTTGCATAGTCAAGCACTCGGGTCTTGCACACCGCTCTTTGTTAGAAAATAAATATCAGCTTCTGGACATTATGTAACGTTCAGCTGGATTTCATCCAATTATTTTCCTTGTTCCTTTTCTTTATTTCATTTTCATGAAACTAAAGAAATATTAGTTACACCAATATCCTGTTTTGGCTCGGAGAGGGGGGGGGGGCGGGGAAAAAATTAAGCTTCTTAAAATACATATCCGCCATCTGAAGTCCCAACAGCTGCATTCAAAACCCTGTGCTAAGCAAACAGTAAAACACTGCGAGCAACTGGAATACCGTTGGCTGCACTGTAAAACTGAAGTAAATACCTAGACGGACGCTGCCCTTCCCCGTAGCCGCGGGTTTAACACCCATTATCGGCGCACGATCTCCGCACCAGCGCAAGCCTAACACCAACAGCTTAGGGATTCAACTGCATATTATTTAAGAAGAAAAAGTCACTCGTCATTACGCAATGATACCCATCGAACGAAAAGAACCCTGCCTCGCCGCCACCCCACATATTTCAATCGTTCCGTATATTGTATTTTTTTTTTTATAACCAAATATGCAAAGAAACAATGCATACTCGCTTCTTCAAGGAGGCTTCCAGAGGTAACACCCAAGTAAGGTCCACTACTTTGGCTCAAGTCTTCCGATTAAAAACACGCTCGGTTCAATTCAACGTGCAGTTTTTTTGTTGTTGTTGTTACCATTCGCTCACATCTTGTCGGCGTTCATATGTTTTAATTTGTCCACTTGCTGAACTCGTCCAACAAACCGATGGCATTCAAAGTTGGGCGTTTGTGCTACAAACATTATCTCCAAGTGCCGCGGGGGGCCAACTCATTAAATATGGACTCCGTATTTCCGCAAATAAATTTTCCATCAAAATGGAAATAAAATGCTGGTGGAATGTTTCAGCAACAATAACAGACGCTAAGTATTATTGTCTTAATAGTACTGTCCTTGCTGCTTTCTTATCCAAGCTGAAAGGTTGCAGTAGTGCGGCAGAAGCCACGCAGAGCAAGGTCAGTGCCTCCGGAGGGTGGAGTGTATAACTGGGTACGTGATCATCCCAACTGGAAGGCACCAACACTCCTCATGTGCAAACGCGTGGCAGCCAGCACATCGCCAAAGCAAACTTCTGTGTTGTTTGAATAAACTGTGGTTGGTAAGTTATTTCGTCAAAATAATCTGGGGCCATATTTAAAACATTAGCCAAGATCGCGCTTCTTGAAGGACCCCCTAACTCATAGTTAATACTAACGTATCATTTGTGTACACTTCTCCAAGTTGTGCTGTAAGGTTATGTGCAAATATTAGTACTTGCACTACCCAGGCAGCGTGGATAGATTAGTGAACCAGTTAAAAGAGAGTGCTGTATCAGAAAGCCTTCAAATTTTCATTTTTCATCATCTTGACTTACAAATCTGTCGACATGATGATGATGTGAAATGTAAAGCAACTCTTTAAGACAATAATACAAATTTAAAATAGCAATAATCGGTCATTAGTCATTAATTTTTTTCTGAAAAACAACTCCTAAAAGGCCACTGCAAGTTTAATATGCGCAATGTGACTTCAATGAGATATACGACAGAGGAGATGTAACACTCACCACCCCCTTCTAACTCACCTGTGCGCTTGTTGAACCCCCGAATACTAGAATAGAGGTAGTTTAGTGTAACTTGAGAACAATATCGGAGTGACCTTTCAGAGCGTTTAACTGCTATAACCCTTTGATCGTGGCCCTTCGTGCAGCGAGTGATGACATTATTTTGGTCGTAGGGAAAGGGGGGAGAAAAAAAGACTCGGGTGGCCTTGGAGCCCTGCTCCATTATAAACTATTCACAATATCATACCTTAAAGTGCAACATAACTGTAATGTTTAAGAGGCTGGCAGAGCCCAGCACACGTGAACCTGTTCAGCTCCAGCACATTACTGTGGCAACCCTCCCTTCACCTCCACTCCCCCCCCCCCCGTACACAAATCAAAAGTCGGCAAAGTGACATCGCCAAGCAACTTAGTGCAGCAATGGCCAACCAAGCATGGGTTGCAATAAAAACAAATTTTACCCCCCACAACAATCTTCCCGACACCTTTTGCTTCAAACGTTTGGGCTTCTGAAGAGAGAGAGAGAGGAGAGAGCGAGACGAGACGAGCCACACCGGCAGACAAGCCCCCGCACTTAGGCGCTACCTCAGCCTGCCATCGGGCTTCACGGACCCCAGGTCGGACTTGGGGTCGGGGTAGAGCGAGCTCCAGTTTGACAGGGCGCAGGCCTGTATGGCCGGGCACCCCGGGGCGCCCAGCGAGCACGTGTCCACAGCCGACCACAGCTCAGAGACGAGCGCGTCCGTCCACTCGCGCAGCGCGGCGCCGGTGAGGCCCGCGTGCTGGCGAGCCTCCTCGGCCAGGTCGGTCCTCTCGGGCACGCTGAGCAGCCCCATGAGGCCCTGGAAGCTCTGCTCCAGGTACATGTTGTTCGGAGGCCCGCTGTGGGCCTGCAGCACCTCGTCTGCACGGAAACGCGAGAGGCGGTACACGGGCGAAGCTCACGTGACACACCACGGATTTTTTACTTTTCACACCCATCGTCATCACCATCATCATGATCACCGTCATCGCCATCATTAGCAGCAGCAATGACCATTACACTGCTAGGTGAAGGGCACCCGAAGTCGTCACCATCTCACACGGTCCTGCAACAAAATAATTTGCCGAGCGCCTGCACACGAGCTGATATAATAGCACCCATCTCCACGGTGGATGTTCTCCGAGCTGAGTTATCCCCCTGCGTTGGCTTGCCACTCCTGTATTGGTCTTGACCACCCACCGTCCCACCGTCATCCCTTCAAACGATTCGTCCTGCCCAAGCTCACCTACTTTTCTTGGCAGTCAACATGATGTATTTACCTTGTGTATATCATCTAATCCACTTTCCTGCATTTAACCTGTGAATAAATTGCAGGCACTGTGCACAGATAGGTCTGTGCAATGTGGGGACATTCTTACAAACGGCCATGCGCTGTGGACACATGTATGACCTAAGGAGTGCGCTTAGCAAGTACATCCCTGGGCAAACATGGGAGAAAGGAAATAGGCTCTATCTTGTGTAAACATTGTATGCATTGAGCCGGTCTTCCACATCACTTTAGATTAGAGAGGACCAATTTTTTTTAAATAAATATCAGATATTTCATTTACAATGCGGCTTCTTGATTGAGCTGCATTTGTGCAAACTCTGTCAAGAACAGGTGCAGCTTCAAAACAAATTTTATAATATCTTACCGATCTTCACAGTCCCCTTAATTCCTATGAATTCAGGTATATGATCACATGGTAATGAGAACCTAGGGGCTGAAGAGTAACCCCCCCCCACCCCGTCCCATTTAAATCATAATTTCAAAATAACACCACGAAACATGAATTATGGTTTTTAAATTTGCAGCAGATGAAGTGAAAATTCCGACTGCCATGTCACAAAAGGGTTAATATATTGCATCCTGAAATTGAGGCTTTCCACTTACATTCTAAACACGGTGGCCAAGGCAGCTACACCTGGAATAAGCAACGGCTTACAAGCACCAAGCACACGGCACGATCACACGCACCAGGGCACCGCAGTGTGATGGGTCTTGATATTTTTTTTGCTTGTAATCCAAGCTGTCATCAGTCGACCCTGCCTGCCCGCCACCCTACCCCCCCCCTTTATGAAAATCAACTAGTGGGCCTGCAACACTCCTCTGATAAAATACTGGTTATTTTGCGATTGATAAACATAGCTCCCAATGCGCTTTTAGTAAATCTAGTCATATTTGTTTTTACTTCGTCTTCTTCCGTGTGAAAAATGAATTTGAGCTCCAAACTAAAAATTGATGCCCAAGTTGGAAATCAGGATGATGGCTTCTTGGGACTCGAGTAGATGTCACTCATGCCCTCAGAGGACGCTCCAAGCAGACAAGAGTTCCCACACAGAACCACAGCCTCACTCAGAGACCCATAGATTCACACAAAGACCCATTCATTCACAGAGACCCACAGACTCGCACATAAACACATAGATTCACATAAAGACCCATAGATTAACATAAAGACCCATAGATTCACAAAAACCCATAGATTCACACAGAGACCCACAGACTCATAAATGGTTTCAATGTTGTGGTGTGTCACAATCGCGTTTGGGTGATTCGATTTTGTATTATCTACTATGTCAAGTGTCACTGCCTTCTATCACTCGTATACGAACACAAACGGCACGTGTAGGCAACTTCTGACGATGTAGCTGCCATGCCGATGCAGCTCTCTTAGAGGTTAAGTGAAGGCGGACAATCCCCCAATCCTCCAAAGAGCTAAGGCAACATTAGCTCCAATTAACATAAATCAAGGCAGTAATGTCTGGGCTGCTCATCAAAAGACACGGTTGTGTCAACACCAAGCCACAAACACACAAGGCACACAGGGCCATGCTTGCAACTTCCCGACGGAGTAAGCCGTATTATAACAACGTGGGCTTAATTTGTCAAAATAAAATTCCACAGGCAAACGCTCTTGCCAGCAAAAGCAATGTGCGTAACGAAGGACAGACAAGTCCACGACGTGTTTCAGGGATACCTTGGCGAGAATTTACAAACGCTAAGCTAAACAGACTGCTCAAATTAAGCAGCTGCCGCGGGGCAAATCTGGACATATTCCTCGGCAAAGACTTCATTTTGTGCGAAGAGGCAATCTTTCCGCGGCCACCGTGAGGCCTAATTTGGGCTTAGCGGCAAGTCCCAGGGGCTCGGCTCAAACATTAGGGCCCGCGCAGCTCTTCACATGCAAGCGACACATTTGCCACCCTACCCTTTTTGGCAAACACGACCGCATTTCGCGTGACCGCATGGAATTTACTTATTTGTCTACGACAGCTTAAACTTCATGCACACCAAAAAAGTGGAGAGCCAAGTAAATGGATTAAGTAATGATCGAAATTGAAAAGTATAAAAAAAGCAGAAACTTAAGAGTTGTAATTTAAACTACGGAACGCTTTTCAATGCCAATGAACACATTATTTCAGAGCAAAAACTGGAATTCCAAATTGCTGTTTTCCACAACACAAGGATACACAAAGACTCCAAATTCCCGTTAGTTTCCGATGGCAAACATTAGTCATCGCTTGAGAAACCACTAGGCTGGTGGTCTTACCGCCCACAAAATAAACCCGCCACAAATATCCTCCGTCTAGCCTACAGAGGCTGTTGGAAGGAAGAAAAAAAACAATCTGTTTGCTAGGACCGATCCAAACCATTGCGTCACACCCAGCCACATTTGTCTCCCCAGACTTGAGAGGTTTACACATCGCACCGGTCATTCATTTAAGGCTGAGTCGACTTTGAGGAGACTCAAGACCGGTTCATGTCATTGCCATTGACGTCAGCTGCAGCCAGGATATGAACTCAGGTCGTCGTGTTTGTAAGCGCCGTGCGCTAACCACCATCACTTCACCCACACACAACACAAAGATCATCCCCCCTCCCCCCGTATAGACTAAACAGACTGGGGAAAGTGTTGTTAGCGAATAGCACCTGTGAAGGCTGGCATGGCACACAAAGGGGTGGGTTGCCAGCACCACGCCCTGCTGCCTTTGTCTCCCCAGTGGCGTAGCTTACACACCGTATCAGCTACACATTTGAGGCCGAGTCGACCTCGGCGAGGCCCAGGACCGCTATAGACAATCGTCACAGGTGCTGTTCGTGAGCGGGAATCGAACTCGGGTAGTCGGTTTTGCAGCGCAGTGCGCTAACCGCAACACTTCCACTCCTACACACACAGGGCGGGGGGGGGGGGGGGCGGCACTGGCGTACCTCTGCGAATGGGCTGCTTGTTGTTGAACAGGAGCGGAGTGACCAGAAACTTGGTCTCGGCCACCGGCGCCCACTGATGCAGCACCTTCACCGTCCACACGCCAGGTCTCAGGGGCAGGTTAAGCGGCGGCTTGTAGCTCGTGTAGTCCGCGTCCGTCTCGACGAGGATGTCGTAGGTGGCGGCGATGACGTTGGTCGGGTCCACCCACACCACGGTGGCGGTGGTGTTGGCACCGCGACTCCACTTCTGCAGGGCGATCGGTTCGTCGAACGGACCCATCAGCCCGCCAAAGTTGCGGAAGATGCGCTCCTTGGGGTCCCAGTCTGTGCTTATCTGGCAGGTAAAGTGGAATAACGTTTGTTTATGTAAATGCCCTTTAAAGGCAAGCAAACTGAAGTGTGCGAAAATGTTAAGAAGGAAAAAAAACTATTTCCCCTAGGGATGATTTTTTTTAAGTGCTCCATTTCACATGTTTGCCAATTTCATTAAGCTTTGGAAGCCAGGTCTATGAAATTCAGCCACTAAGGGGGTCATAGTCAGGTTAATTATTTCACAGCAAATATTAAAGTGGGCACACACAAGTGAAATGTGTGCAACTCTCAATTAGATGAGACATAGGAAAGGAAATCATAAGTAGACCGATTATTCACATTAAACAGAGGGATTGAGATTCAAATTGGTTTGCGGAAAGCCAGAAAAGTCATCTACACAACAACACGGAAGGCAAGCATAAACTAAATGATGACTTTGGGCGAAGTCAAAGTGGCCTTATATTGTCAGAAGATCACTAGAGAGCTCATATTTGCAAGTATGTGCTTCATTATTAAAAGAACCACACAAACAGTCATTCGTATTGGTAGGTAAATAGCCACGCAAAAATAGCTCAACAAACCACTCCAATGGATGGATGACCATCCACTCTAGAGCTGGGCTGCCCAATTTTTTAAAGTATCAATTGCCACACTGATTATCCCTCTCCATGATTCGGCTAATCGAATAACAACAAAGAACAGTTGGAAAAACGTCTCATTCTCTAATCTCACGTGTGCCGCTGTACGGGAGGTGATGGACAAGCCCTGGTGACATCGTCGGCCGCATCACAATGGCCGTGGATGTAGGGAGTTTCCTGCCTTCGGGAGGCAGGATGTGAGGGCACCCACCAGTTTGAACCCTTTTCCATTCCGATGACGGCACGTCTTCAGGTCGGAAAACGTACCGAGGCTCCCGCAAGGCCATGTGGGAGGTGCGTGTACCACAGTTTGGCTCCAGCTATTGTAGTGCGGTTGTGTCACTACAGTTCTCTGCGGTGAGTACAATTTCTTCAAAAGCAACGGTGCTACGCCTCTCTAAATAAAATTTACGCAAACCGCTTGCGCGTTACGAGATTCAGCGGTGAACGGGACCCCACCCTGCAACTTGCAGACGGGGGTTTGATGAGTCCAATTCTGGATCCGCAGATCTTTGGGCATTGGGGGCAATCCAAGTGGTCCCAGGTAGAAGTGGGATCCGCAGTGCAGGGGTTGTGGCTTGAATCAAATCGTTCCAGGCCTAGTAAAATCTCCCACCCACCACCAAAACTCACACACACACACACACAGCCACTCCCTACCTCAAGGTTGAGCAGCCTCGCGGGATCAGAAGGCATGTCGAGCGCGCTGAAGACCTTGCGTGGCATCAGCCAGGCCTCCAGTGTCTCCAAGCGGCCCGTGCCCAAGTTCTGAGCCTTCTGCTGCACAAGGTAGCCCTGGAAGTGATCCGCATGGAAGTACACGTGCACAGAGATAGGGTGGCCCACTGGCTCGTATCTGTAACACATAAACACACGGACCCTTGTTAAAGTTAACGCACAGGCACAAAATAAGCACTGCAGAAAATGATTATGAACACAATAGTCATCAATTATACGCAACGTATAAAATGGCGTATCGTTTACATTCAACGTAATAACATACCAGATTCACTAGCTTTTACAGATCATTATTGCGTAAAGGTATTGAATAACGAACATTATTGCGTGGCCATTTTTTTTTCCCCACAGTAAAATAGTGCATGCTATGCAACATTACTTTGTATCGTATCTGTAGCTTATTTCAATGTACATACGGCGTATATAAATATTTAAACACAGTATTAGCTCCAAACAAAAAACGACTTGTTGACCGGGAAGAAAATTCCCGACTTATCGGGGGTGTTGACAAGAACAGGTTCAATGCCAAATTTGAACGGGGCCATTGAAAAAAATCTACGAGAACATTATTGCATCTCAATTGTACAGGCCTCCTAGTCAAATGCAAAATTATAACACACACATGCACACACGTGTGCGCAGTATTCACAGAGCCGTGGTCCGTTATAATGAGGCGATAGCGTATACAAATGAAAAGGTGCAGCAGAGGTAAGGGTGCGAACGGCAGGCTGACCGGCAAGCGTCATCCTGATGGTTGTGCCAGCTCATGGCCGTTCGCTGCAGACCCAGTCGCATGAACGAGTGATATGCTGTGAGAGTCACATCACTGAGGCTCTCCACGCCGTCCGGCTCGTCAAACACATTCTCCCAGTAAGCCTAGACACGGCACGCGTGAGCACACACACACGCACGCATATACTCAGCACCAAAAACCCCCCCCCACTTTTTCTAAATTATTTTTATTTCAGCTGGTAAGGGCCACTGAGCTATACAGCTCTTTGAGAAGCGAGCCGTCCGCAAATGAGAGCTAAACAAAGTGGCTTTCTTATCATGTGGACATTTATAGCAGCCAAATGCTCTAAACGCAAGTAAATTCTAAATATGGAAGGAAAAACCGAAGGACCCGGAGAAATATCGACGCGATCACAGGGAGAGAACACGCAAAGCTCCAAATATACAGCAGGCGTCAGAGGTCGGGATCGAACCCTCGACCTCTTGTATACCAGGTAAGGTAGTTAACATCTCGTCACTGCGGCGCCCCCACTACTCTCACTGTAAGGTGCAACCAGTGGCTATTGGTCAGTGCGCACACATTCCACACACTGTAACTAGCAGCTGCGAGCAGGCCGTGCGCCGGTACCTTGATGGACGGCGTGCCGCTGGGGTAGCTGCCGTACAGATACGAGTCCAGTTGCTCGATCACCTCTTGGTTCACCGCCGACTCGAACTTCCGTGCAAAGAACGTCGGCCGGGCCATTTGCTGCACGGCGAACCGGAGATGATGCACATAAAAATTATTGGTTTAACTTGGGATTCGACCGAATATAAAATCTATTCCGCACGAACACCAATCCATCATCAGCATTGAAATTATATTCAAATGTACAAATCGGTGCTCATAAATAAGCTTTCACTCCCTTCAGGTGTGAAAGAAAAGAAAAGGCACATAGCAGAATAATGAATTCACATCACCTGTAGCTTTTCAGATAATGAACTAATTGTATTCTCTACGTGGATTTGCAGGTGTGCTAGTGTTCAGTGTGCACATGAAAAATGTCCATTTGTATTGTACGTTTAATTCTAGAAAGTGTAAAATTAATCTAATTTTATTGAGATTTATCATATAAATTTTTGCAACATGCTGGATTTTATACAGACTTCTGTATCGACATTGCACCTTGCGAGCTTGCACCGGTATATCTGTTGCAAGAGGAATGGCGTCTCATTGGGTCAATGTACAGGTACAGCCCTTCGTTAATCCACTGCTGGATGAAGTCCTTCCCACATGACTCATGGGTGGGGGGGGGGGGTCCCAATGCCGAGTTTAATACCCATTTAAAATAATGGACGCACATCTACCAATCTATAACAGTGACCATCACACTCCGATTGGCACGGTTGGCTACGTACGGTACGCGAAAGAAGCCCAACATAGATCATACATACAAGAGTATGTGGACGTTATTAGTCACTTTGAAGAACTTTGAAACACAAGAGCATGTGTTGTACAAAACTACTGTCATGAGGGGTTATATATCATTTATAACCAAGACACCATGTAGCAGCATTCTTTATGTTACATTTTTATTCATGGAAGCTACTGCTAGAAAAGAGGAAAACATATGTGTTCTTCCAAGACCATGTGTGTGCCAGCATATCTGCAGTTGCAGGGAAGTTGCTAAGACGGCTTTGCCTGGGCCACCTTTTAAAGGATGAGGCTAAATAACAGCCATCGCACTCATCACAACCGAGCACATGGCCGAGATCAAGATTCCTATCGCATTGCCGGGGCCCTGACACCGCGGCCTCGCTACACGAGGGGGCAATCAAAATGCCAGCATCGCTCGCGAATGTCTTCAGCTGGTAACGTTCTCCCTTGGCAGCGTACGTACCTCTGCACTTGGCATGCAAAGCATTGAGAGCTGTGTACATCAAATATTTATCCCAGCCGCGTAATTAAAAAACACGCGTCGGATCATTTCGGTCGCGCTGTCGGCACAGCACGGCGCCGCCGCCTGGCGCACATGCACGAGTGCCGTGTGGCTATGCGTGTACTGGACATGTATGTATGTATGTTGATCTTCCTTCGCACCGTACGTAGTCAACTGTGCTGATCGTAGGTGTGTGGGGGGGGGGGGGGGGAGGACAACCAACTAAACACAAAAAGCATCTGTGAAAATACTGCACATCTGTGAAAAAGAGCTTCATAGCTCATCGTATTTCCCCAGGATAAATGAAGATTCCGATCCTGTACGCATGCACACAGACCTGGAAACGGTGGAAATCCTGAGGCTTGAAGTCGTTGGGCGAGCAGCCACACCAGTCAACAATGTGCTTGTACTGGCACTTGCAGCCGAGTTTACGGTTCCAGTTGGTGATGCGCAGATTATTGTCCACAAGGCTGCCACAGTGTTCACTGTTTTCCAGCACCGTGTGGTAGAATGACTGCAGGGACAAGGTTTTTTTTAATGATGAATGATACGACTCTGGGCAATATGGTGATCGACTAAAATGCACAGCTGCCACAGCTTGAACATTTACCATCGCCCGCATAAAAAGCGTCTGTGCCACGTTAAATAAGACGTAATGTGCACGTGTACTATTTAACAAATACGTAATAAAATTTTGTAAATAGCCAAACAAAAGATATCCATGTATGAATTTTCCTAGTACAAGCATTTGTTCAAGTTTGACAGCGGTAGTGTGTCCACGTGCGAGGAAAAGATTAAACAAGGCGGCGATTTTTATTGCTGCGGCCATTGGTACTGAACTTTCTATTAAAATTATCCAATTGTTAGAATGCGCAAGGGCTGTTACACGTTCAAAGTAGGCGAGTGAGTATGTGCGTGTATGTGGCATTGCCCCGTAACTCGGATGGGTCAAGGCTCCCAATTACAGCGAGGGCACCCTTACAAGACGACAGCGTGCACCGCACGCACAATGCAAGGCTGTTGGGCATACGCAGTACGGTGTGCGGGAGAACGGGGGTCAAGTTACTGTGCAAATAGGATGCAGGGTGCATGCCGCGCTTGCTCTTAACACAGTCCCCGTCAGCGGGCGAGAGCAGACCACCTTGACAAGAGCACAGCAGCGATTTAACCGACGGACGAAGAGCGCGGTTATTACAGTGGGCCCAGCGGTGACACAGCGGCAGGGGGCTCCGGTGTCGGGCGTGGTGCTCGAGTGGGGGTGCCGCGGCGCGCCGCGCACGGCTCACCTCGGCAGGCAGGAGGGTGTAGGCGTAGAAGCGCTTGAGCTCCGACACCAGCTCTCCCTGGGAGCGCATCACGTACTCCACAAAGGGCCGATTGAGGGCGAACCAGTCCGAGCCGCCGTCTACCACGATGCCATCGGGTATCTTGCGGTCGCCCAGGCGCCACATGTGCGTGTCGCACTCGTAGAATATCCTGTCGAGACCCTGTTTTTTCACAAACCTGTTGCCGCGGTGTCCACGGAGACATGGGGAGAGGGAGAGAACGGGTGGCAGTCCATGTTAATTCTACACAGATTCACTGTAAAAGCAAGGTGGGCTAGATCATGAATCATGCAAGAAGATTAAAGATATAAATGACCAGATTTGTTACATTTCGCGCACGTTTGGCTTTGTTGATGCTCACCTATTGTTGTCTCGGCCATGGGATTTGAGGAAATTTTTGTCTCTGTATTTCGTGAGGAATGCCACCAGCTGATCATTTGTTCTGCAAGGAATCATCGCAGAGCACATTCAGAGCCTGTTGCACTTAATCCACAATCCAGCGACGAACAATTCTCGCACTACGGAAAGCCAGACTAACGCCAATTCACATTGCGATACAACATTAACGCCGCGGGACTAAAAAAAAATACCGGTGTGCGAAAACTCGACGACAGGTTGAAAGAAGAAAAGACAAAGCGTTAATCGTCTACCGCTCTCCTTGTGCAACAACGCTGAGAAAATTACGTAACTTTGTTGTCATAATGCCAGGCATGAACCCCGCCAAGTTACAGATTTCATTAATGACGGCAGCAGGCGACTTGCGGGTCCTCGCAACACAGCGGGCGCTGGATGTCAATCAAAGGCGGGAGCCGTGCATGCTCAGGGGCACACACAACTGGCGGGTGAGGGCAACCCGCATAATTAATAGGTGCGGGCGAAGACAGTGGGGGGGGGGGGGGGGGCAAGGGTTTGACAAGACTAAGTTCACTTCACATCCGCGATGAAGATCAGTTGAGCCAAGTCTAATGTGTGGAAGGAGGCCAATACTGGACCAAGGACAACTATGGAAAGGAAGGATTAGAGGAAAACAGTGGGGGAGGGGTGGCAAGGCCTTTTCCCGACAGTCAGAATCAGAATACGTATTTATACTGGAGGAATCTGATGAGCTATGAAGCTCTTTTTCACAGACGTCCAGTAGAGGCGGGTAAGAACAGTGGGACGTTACAGCCAACGACGACGATAACAACAACAAAACATCAACAAGTTAACAACAATGGCGCGTGTTGCACAACTGCTCAATTCTAATGCCAACCGGATTGGGTAGTCGGTGGCGCTGAGGTTAATGAAGAAATCCCAGGCCCAGTCGGTCATGTCCAGGAGGTCCTTCATGGTGCGCAGATACATGGTGAGCAGGCTGGCACCGCCCCAGATGGTGGCCATGCGCCACGGGGTGACGCGCACATTCGGGTAGCGCTCTGCTACCTGCAGCACCTGGCGCTGCAGGTAGTTGGAACGCTGGGGGGTACCGGCAGTCCAACAAATAAAAAAAAGACACAAGGACGTACGCGTTAATAGGACGGCAGGGTGGCGGCAAGGTGGCACAGTGGTGGCACAGTGGCGACTCTCACGCCTCACAGCAAACAAAGTGTCTGGGCTTGATTCCCCGTCGTTTTTCACGTTCTCCCCTTATTCTGCATGGGTTTACTCCGGGTTCTGCAGTCTCTTCCAACAGTTAAAAAAAAAATAATGCAGTGCAACTGATACTGGCCAAACATCCCTACTCCGAAAGCTTGGTAGGCACCTTCTGAACAGTCTTGAGACTCAGTGAGGCTTTCCTGGGTGAATATAATCATGATAAACCACTCAAAGGGCAAACAACCCTTCAGATAAATGCCAACGTTCTTGTGCAATGTCGATATCTCTAGAGCTGGGCCCTCAAGTGGCTTCACATTGCCCAGATAAAAAACAATATTAGCGAGAATAGGGGGGGGGGGGGGGATGCGTGCAAAATGTGACGAATGACCATGGCACCTAGCGATACGGGTTTGACCACCTTTCTGGGAATATATTCAGACGCTCCACACTGCCAGCGTTTACACAAAAAAATGTCTGGCTGGCATTCTTCCCAAGCCACCCCTCCCCACCCACTGCGACCCGGTCGCCGCCGCACCTTGTCAACGTGAATGTAGTAGTAATGGTCGCGGTGGTAGATGGCCTTGAGCATGCGCGTGAGCTGGCGGATCGCACGGCCGTGCACCACCAGCACGAAGACGATGCGCACGGGGTTCGGCGGAACCAGTCCGAGGGCCACCTCGTCGCTCCACGCGATGTTCTGCACCGGTTTGCCTGCCAGGAGAATCCGGAACATTTGTAAAGCGTGTCAAGACAATCGGACACTGCAATGCAAATTAAACACACTTTTTTGCTCGTTAAACTAAGCCACAGTAGGATACGAAGGTGAACCAGCAGTGCAACAGTGCACAACTGAACCACACAGGTATGACTCGGTAAAACCACAATGTTTAACGTGTACGCGCTTTCAAAAATATATTACACCGGTACTTGGATAAAAGACTGCAGTGTTCATGAAAATCCGCACAAACCATAAAAAAATTAGTTTTCCTAAAATAAAAATGCATTACTACCTTACAGGCTGGTTCATAGCGTACTAAACAATAAAAAAAATGTTGTCTCAAGTGTTGTCTCTTGATAGTCATTATTTTTAATTAGTTTATATGCTAAGGGGTTACCTACAAGCCCGGCCTGTGGAGCTTCTCAGAAACAAACCGAAAGCATTGTGACAGGTCAATGCCATTCAACTGGACTTAAATTCCACGAAAATACGCCTAACATTGGCACGTTAACGCAAGGAGAGTCAAAATAAATGAATGTGCAGCCCAGTTTCATCACCCATGCGCCACTGTATCAGGTTTTAAAAATAATAAACACGAGGCATGATGGATATCCCTGTTCACCAACAAGCAGAGTCCTATTGAGAATCAGAACAATAATCTTACAAAGAATATAATTCACCTGCCATTTAGTGGCCATACTTTTACTCAAACTAAATATATTTATCTCCTTTCCTATAAATAGTATGCGTCTACACACTTAGCTAGGGCTTGGCCTTCGCGAGTAATATACCTCCGATTGGCACGGTCGGCTACGTACGGCGGGAAAGAAGGTTCAACGTACGTGTGTGCAACGTGCAGACGTCCAAGCGTACCGAAGCAGCCCCGAACGAAAGGAAGGTTCAAGCGCTCGGCGAGCCCCGCGGACGCTTACCTTCGATGGGACAGAATCGAGGCAGCGACTCGGGCATGAGTTTCCCCTCCTGGTGTAGGCACACCACGTCGGCGATCTCCTGCTTGCACTGGGCGCTGCGTGCTCGCGACAGCGCCGACAGCGCCTCCTTGCCAGCGATCTCGCACTTGGGCACATAGTCGGCGTCGTCGCGGTGCGAGGCCTCCTCGGCCCGGGCGTCGCCCACTCTGTTGCTCGTCGCTCGGACGTCCGTGGCGCTGCGGCTGCTGGCTATCTCCGAGCTGTGCCAGCTGAGCGGGAACAGCTTCAGTGACTTGCTGCTCTCCTTGCCTGCGTCTTTGGATGTTTGGTACAGCTTGCTGTGCACCAGGTTGCTGTTGTCTATACTGTCAAAGTCCTTTGGAACAGAGTTCTCATTGTTACTGTCAATTTTCTTCGGGAATTCCCTTATTCTATTTTTTCCCTGAAAAAAAAAACACGTTGGAAGATTAAACTTTGATGTCTGTATGCAATATTTTATGCTTATTTGAGAAAGCAGGCCTTGTGATGCACACAAGAATACGTAATTGTTAAACGGTAACAGAATCAGCGTGCAACACATGTTAAAGACTGACCACGGCTAGCCATGGGACAAAAACGGTTACCGCATTGCGCGCTTTCAGGTGCGCTTCTGCGGCTACCGAGAACTGTCTTCCTTCCGATATTCGGAAGCCACTGGAGTTATGCACTTTTAAATCTAGATTCACGGATCTAGTGTTTAGTGTGTTGTCCTTCCCCCCCCACTTCCAATTAGCACGGTTGGCTACATACTGTGCGAAAGAGGTTCAACATACGCACGTACCATTTCCACCGAAAGAAATAGGTGGAGTCTCTGCGCAGTTGCGATAAGTGGCTAATTTAGACTCGGCTTTGTTTCCGTTGCACGAGACGTCCGCCGGCAATGTAAGACGAGTCAAGTCAGCAGCTCTGCCTGAGCCGGGGGGGGGGGGTGGCTGCGACAGCGCAGAGCGAGACACGAGGAGCGTCCTAACATCGGTGAGCTCTTCTCCTGACATCCACAATCGCTGTAACTCATATCAGCCGCACCTTCCCCCCCAACCCACCCACTACCCCCCCCGTACGTGTGCAGAGATCGCTCAGCAAATTCACGATCCGATTCACTGGGTTTCCAATGCAATTTTAGCAAGCAAACACCATAACCCACATTTTTCACCACGTTGTAAAAAAAAACACCTTTGCAGCACATGTTAGATTGAACAACGTTCAGCCAAAACCGTAATGGAGATAGAAAAGATGTGCAATAGACTCCTGTGCACTTTGAAAGCATTGGTATTTTAAATATTACAACACTGAGACAGGTTTAGGGACTGAAAAGCTGATTGCAAACATTACGTATATTCCTGAGTGCTTGCTGGAATAAGATGCGGCACTGAAGTGGGCATTTTTTCTTGTCAAGGATAAAATTCTCAGTGCTCCTAAACGTTACTCTCCAACCAGTTCATAACTCTCTTTGAGCAACGTCCTTTTGACAGCTCACGAAGCATCTATCAAGACGGCTGGGGTCATTTGGCTGCCTTTCGATAGAAGCATCGCCATGACAAGACATTTAAAGCCCACCAACAGCAACCGCCCGAAGGAGGGCAACGTTTTTAAATTGCTACGATGGAGCAATACAATTATAACTCTACGTAATAAATAAAACAAAGCAGCTTCTGTTTATCATTCAGTGCTCGTAACTTTTTCATCTGCAATAGGAATTATTTGGTGAATGACCTATTTTTTCCACCACACATTTCCATAAAAACACACACACCCGCTGTGAGCCTGTGAATTTAGTACACAGTTATTATGGAAACTGTGCACAGACCAATAATAACACCACGAACCGCAGATGCTGCTTTAGGTACACACATGTGGTTTACCGTGATTACTGTACAAATTACAATCAGTAACCAAGTTTCGAAATACGAGCTACAATAGAATCTGATCAAGAATTATTATTATTATTTCTACGGAATGTGTCATGCAAAATTGGCGTGAAAATATTGCTCGTGCAAAAAAATGCAAGTATTATAAACCAAATCAAATTCATTAAAATGAACACGGTTACCACATCAATTCTACTCGACAATGCTTCTCTGGGTGTCTCATTTGCGTGCACCAAATCACACCATGCAAAGGGGAACCTTTTCACTGCAGAGTGTATTCATAGTAAAAATTATTCAACGTGATGACGTAGGCAAACCGCATAACTGCTGCTTATTTCATCGTCATATACAGGCAGTACAAATTAGTCTTAATGCTGCTTGTATAATGGCCATGTACTGGAAAATGACAAGACAGTACATTGCCAAAGATCCCCCCCATATTATTTTTAACATACTGTTGGGGCAATTGCTGTTAGCGAGCACGTATTAAGGTCTGCACAGCACACGAGGGGGTGAGTGGGCACCACCATTGCCTGGCCGCCTTTGCCTTCCCAATGCTGATGTTTACACACCACACAAGGTGCTCATTTAAAGCTGAGCCGGCATAGGGAAAGCCCAAAACCGGTTCAAATATTCATCACCGATGTTGGCCGCGAGCGGGAATCAAACTCAGGTCATTGGGTCCGTAGCGCAGTGCGCTAACCACCGCACTATCATATTCCCCAACGTACTGAGGGATCCTTAAATAAAAACTACAACTTGGCTCACTGCAGACGAACTGTGTGCTTGAGTCTCGTGTGGTATATATTTGTGCAAGAGAATGTGATTAAAATTTCAAGCAGGGCACCAGATTGCATGGATGGACTCGTAGCAACTTAACTTGGGGAAGCACAGGCAAAAAAGTGACAGGCGAGATTAATAACCATGCCTTGGTTAGTTTATTATGGGCATGGATCATAAATCAACCACTGCACTTTATGTACAGGTAGTCCCCGACTTACGATGGTCCGACTTACGATATTTCGATCTTACGATGGCGTTATCGATATGACAAAATTGTTAAATATTTTACATTTCGCGCGGCAGGCAAACGCAGCAGCGTACAAGGTACGATACTGTACGTTGGGACGCTGCCGGGATGTACTGTACGCATCTCCCGCCTTGTGTGGTGATGCCTCACTCTAACCAGCAGTTGACAGAGTTAAGTTGTCTCGGTGTTCAATGCATTTTAAAGCTTTTATAGCAGATATGAATGTTTCCTGAAATTGCAGTTCATATAGGTAGGCTAAGAATTTACCTTGTTTTTTACTTTAAATTTTACTGTGCAATACAGTATTGTAATTAATAAATACATACAGTATATAGTTTATACAGTACTGTACATTTCTCTGTTTTGCTAAATTTTCACCATTCTTTAAGACTCCTGGGTAGGCGAGGCCATTTTCGACTTATGATATTTTCGACTTACGATGGGTTCGTCGGAACGCATCTCCGTCGTAAGTCGGGGACTACCTGTATTCCTGGAAAGGGTTTTTCCACTGGCAACTAATCGTGAACAAGTCTACAAATGAAAACCTTGAACAACGGCGATCCCTCACATCGCAATGTGCTTCACACGAAACTCTGCACAGTATTCATATACTATAACCAAGACCCTGCATTTTGACACGCACAAGCGTGCCACTCTTTTCCATGAGAGACGTTTACAACCCTGCTTGTGCTGGTGAATTGCAGAAAAGGGGCAACTTGGGCTGGCTCAAATGCAACACCGAGCATATCTCTCTTACAATCCAAAGTCTTGGGTATGCAAGATAAGAACAACTGACAGAACCCCAATATACGTAGCGACTGTACTATTTTTCCTGTGGGTTTCAAACAAAGCTATCACACTTAAAAAGGTGATGCTACAACTTACGCACTTCAGTCAACGAATATAAACCACACGGCTACGACCTACGAGGCTCCATATGCTCACCTTCATCTAATCAGATACCTGGCTGAGTGAGGTGCAATATTTAAAAAAACACATACAAGGGACTCTGCAGAAGCACATTTGTGAAAACTACACAATCGCTGTTAAGTGCCAGGTCCGAACACACGCACACAGACGTAGTTGTATTCTCCAGTTCAATGTGTGCCGGCTCTGCAGGTCGCTGGTAAATTCCATTTGATCAGTCAAAAGCATGCTTTACTTTGATTATATTTGCTCAAGCCAGTCCTTTGAATTTCACACTGCTGAGATTTTCTGTGACAACCGGAGTCACATAAAATGTTAAATTTAACACATAATGCCCTACACTTGGAAAAAACGTGCTTAAAATGCAACCATCCATAGCACATAAGAGAGATAAACATTCTACCCTCCGTCAACACGGAGAATCAATGAGCACTTCTCTGGGACAGCCGCTGCCAATCCTAAACAAACACGGCCTGCCGCACAGCCGTACGCATGGGGAGAGACCCAAGTCTGCTCCTCCATGCTCACTCTCTCGCTCTCTCCACGCCAGTCCACGTGGACGAGCATTCACCAATATACCTCCTCAACCACATCTCCAGGGCTTGTCTGCCTTTTGGAGAAATGGGGTTTAGGTCGTGTATCATTTCTTGCATCGTTTAAATTCATGCTCGCCAGCTCGTGTGCGAGAGCGTGTGGTGAGCGGTAGCTTAGCGTTTAGCACGCTGCGCTACCAACCCGGCGACCCGAACTCGATTCCCACTCACGGCCAACACCGCTGACAATGATCTGAACCGGTCCTGTGCCTCCCCTAGATCGACTCGGCCTCAAAGGAGTATCTGGTGCGGTGTGCCACATCATCGCAAGGGCGTGATGTTGGCCACCCACCCCCTCGTGTGCAGTGTCGGCGTTCATAGGGGCTCGCTAACTGCACTTGCCCCAACAGTCTGTTAAGGCTACACGGAGCAGGTCTTTGTATTTGAACGTCTGTCAGTATTTCATAGAGGACACAGAAGTCCCATTAAAACCCTCAGAGCAATGGTAAAGCCTTAAGGTACAAATTACGCACGCGCGCGGCTTTTACCGCATACCCCCCCCCCCAACCACCGCAGGGGGTGTGTGTGTGGGGGGGAGGTGTGTGAAGGATTGACAACGCAAACGTTATGACAAATTAACCATCGACACAGCTCCGCAAAACGCCAACCGTGCCCGACGAAGCCATCTCTGCGATGCAGAAATGTGGCGTGACAGCGCGGTGGGGGCATTTGGCGAGCGGATCAAGCGATGGCCAACACAGAGTGGGGGTCAATCACAGCAGCGGAGGGGGTGTGGTGCAGGCGAGTGGAGCAACACGGAACGAGGGGGGTGGGGGACACGGAGCCTGCGGTTGACGTGGCTGAGTGTGGCCGGCAGCCCAGGATGAATTCCACCCGCCCCATGGCATCATCCCCTGGCAAAGAGTACGGCGTACTCCAGATGCTGCAGCGTCTGCAGCGTCAACATCCAGATCCCTCTTCAGAGTCGTCATTTCGCCCACCGTTCTTCTTATCCCACCCAAATCAATACATTCACACTTCTTCTAATCCTCCTCCAAGCTAACCGCTCCTCCTCCTCATCCGCCATATCTTCATCTCGCAGCTACGATACTCAGTGACGACTCCCTCCCTCCTTTCAATTCCCTCTCACCACATCATCATCTCACCTCCTCTCCCTCATCGCCTGCCCCACCACGCCATCTCGCCCGCCTCTTCCTGTTCATCTTCATCCGCGGCTAATACACCACCTCATCTCTTCCTAATTCCTTCCCCCGCGTCTCCCTTCGCTCGGCCTCACGACCCCGGTCACGTACGGCTCGGGGTAGAGGGGTCCCCCCGCACGCCTACACCGTCCCTCCTCGCGAACGGAGAGAGGCGGCGTCCTCCAGGGGGACGCATGCGGGGTCCCCTCGTCCCCCTCCACGTGTCTCTCCACGCCTCTCTCCTCGTCTCCCTGTGTCTCTCCACGTCTCTCTCCACGCCTCCCCGTCTCTCTCCCCTTCTCCCTGTGTCTCTCCACGTCTCTCTCCCCGTCTCCCTGTGTCTCTCCACGTCTCTCTCCACGCCTCCCCGTCTCTCTCCCCGTCTCCCTGTGTCTCTCCACGTCTCTCTCCCCGTCTCCCTGTGTCTCTCCACGTCTCTCTCCACGCCTCCCCGTCTCTCTCCCCGTCTCCCTGTGTCTCTCCACGTCTCTCTCCCCGTCTCCCTGTGTCTCTCCCCGTCTCTCTCCCCGTCTCCCCGTGTCTCTCCACGTCTCTCTCCACGCCTCCCCGTCTCTCTCCTCGTCTCCCCGTTTCTCTCCACGTCTCTCTCCACGCTCGTCTCCACGTCTCCACGTCTCCCTGTGTCTCTTCCACGCCTCTCGGTCTCTCTCCTCGTCTCCACTTCTCTCTCGACGTCTCTCTCCACGTCTCCCCGTCTCTCTCCCCCCTCATCTCCACGTCTCCCTCCACGTCTCTCTCCACGTCTCCCTCCACGTCTCTCTCCACATCTTTCTCCACGTCTCCACGCCTCCCTCCACGTCACTCTCCCTGTCTCTCTCCACGTCTCCCTCCACGTCTCTCTCCACGTCTCCCCGTCTCTCTCCCTGCTCGTCTCCCTGCTTCGCGGATCCCCCTCTCACCCCGCTCTCCCCTATCCCCACTCTTGGCTTCGCCATCTCCGCCCCGTCTCTATCTTCCATCTCTGATCTCCCCCCACTACTCTCCCCGTCTCCCTGGTCCCGCGCCAAAGATCCCCGCTGCCCCCCACGGTCTCTCTCCCCACATCCGTCTCCCTCCATCCCCTCCACGTCTCCCTGTCACCATCCCTCCCTCTACTCCCTGTCCCGCTCTCCCTTCCCTGTCCCCGCTCTCCCCAACTCACCTCGCGGCCTCTCCGCTCCCCGACCCCCCCGAGCTGCTGCTGCTGCTGCCGCTGGACGGGCGCGCGGGGTCCGCGCGGCGCCACCGCCTCAGCCTCGGAGCCGCCGCCTCCAAACCGCGCGTCCCTCGCGCCGTCCGCGGCCGCCCGCGCCGGCCTCGCCACCGCCACCGCCGCCTTGTCGGCCGCGGCAGCCGCCGCCGAGTCTCTGTCGTCGAGGCCGCCGAAGCTCCAGAGTGCCAGGGTCTGCAGCAGCAGCAGCGCCGTCACGGCGGCCACCACCGCCGGCCTGTGCCTCCTCACGCACTTGCGCGCCATGGCGCTCGACACGCGCACCTCGTCGCGTTGCTTCCACGTCTCTCGCCTCCGGGGTTCCCCACGCCGACGCCAACGACCGCCGCGTCGTTTCTCCTCGATGCCGCCGCCGCCGCCGAAGCAGCCACCGCCGCGTCTCCTCCTCCGCCTCCTCCTCCGCCGCCTCCGCCGCCGCGCTCACCGCGTTCGCTCCACAGCAGCAGCCGCCGCCACCGCCGCCTCCGCCTCCTCCATCGTCCCCCCACCCGCCGCTGACCTAAGCCCCGCCCACGGCCTCTCAGCCAATGGGAACGCGCGTCCGCCGGCCCCCACCCCCACGTGACGCGCTCGCTCTCTTCCTCCAACCGCCTCGTCGCCCCCCCCCCCCTGTTTCGGTGGCGGTGTTGTGGGGTCTGTCTCTTCCGGAAGAGGAAGATACTGCCGGGGTCGGTAGAGTCTTCTGGAAGAGGGCTGCCGGTGGCGGAAGAGGCGAAGGAAAAAAACGCAGCCCCCCCCCCCGACCTCTCCGAACGGGAGAAACTTTGAAACGGTCGCGCGTGATTGGCTTGTGGGCCCGGCACGTGGTCCACGTTAAAATGTGTCGCGACCAATCAGAATATAGCTGCACATTTCAACTAGCTATACCTGTTATAACTACACATTATAACTAGCTATACCTGTTATAACTACACATTTCAACTAGCTATACCTGTTATAACTACACATTATAACTAGCTATACCTATTATAACTACACATTTCAACTAGCTATACCTATTATAACTACACATTATAACTATTCTTAGGTTTTTTTGGTAAAGTCACGTAGGTAAAAAATTAAAATTACCTACGTGGCTTTACCGGGTGGGGAGGGGAGGAGCTGGTCACCCCGTGGTGCCCTTATAAAACTCAACGTTTAACCTACTCACGCCGGCTTGTCCCCGCCCTCACAGTCGGGCATATTTGCGGAATACACCACGCCGCCGTTGACCCTCCAGGCCATTGACCGAGCAACCCAACGTTCCTACCAGCTCCCTCCGCAGGAATGCGTTATCCAAACCGGTTCTGGTTCTCCCGTAAATCTATGAGATCGGCTCGGTGCAAGAGCGAGACAATGAGGGATGCTGACTTCGAGAGATCTTAATCCAGCAGTGGTTAGAACATGGCTGAACATGATGCAGTAATAGTCCCCGTAGACGAGCATTGTGCCAACCTCCCCACTTTGTGGAAATTCCCCATTCCCGAGGCGGAGCCAGTTTATTCTCTACAATGCACAGACGACCTTTGTTGCCTTTGCGATTCTTGTGGCGTTGTCGCTCGCCACGTGCTGCCTACTTTACCCACCCCTGCGAATTGTTGGTCGGTGCAAACCTGGTCGGAATTTGAATATTCCAGGTGAGGTTTGGGAGCGTAAGGGGCCGTCCATAAATGACGTCACGCGATTTTGGACGATTTTTGACCCCCCCCTCTCTTCGTCACACGGTGTCACAAAAAGTCAGACCCCCCTCAAATATGACGTCACAAAGCTCTGCCCCCCCCCCCCCCCCCCAAAATAAAAAATAAATTCTTCATTGTAGTGCGTATTTAATGTGGCGCTGCACTCTGATGTTGTAGGAGAAAACATTTATTAAAAATTAATAAGAACGTGTTGTCTACACATACTCTTTGGTTTTAATTTCTTTTTTTTTCGTTTTTTTCCTATGGGACTTTACCGAAAATCCCAAAGAGTATGAATCATTGCAGTCACGAAAGCTTCAAATCTAGAATCGTCACAAATGTCTGACCCCCCCCCCCTCCCCAGGTGGGTGACGTCATTTATGGACAGCCCCTAAGATGCAAAGAGCACTGCACCCGCATGCGCACGCCACGCGCACCCGTTGAACGCGGTTGAGTCTATAGAGCGAAGGAGAGCTCGGTTTTGTATGCCTGTGCGCGCGTCTCGGTGTGCCCTCGGTGACATTGAAGAGGTGTGTCTGCTGATTAACTCGACACCCATTACCATTGCCCTGTGTCAAGCCAAACGCCTACGTTCATGGGCTTAGGTCACATAGACATGCGGAGCACATACAATACTTGCCAACACCACTTCCGGTTTTGAGAGGTAAGCTGACGAATTTTTGTTGACCACATTGCCAATTTTCAAATTTATGTTTTTTTCCTCTCCAAATGTCAAACATTTTACAAAGCAGTACAGGTGTATACGGTTAGCTTCGAAAAATCGGTACACAGTTCAAACGGGTTTAAAATAGGGGAGCCCACCTCTGAAATGGGGAGGGTGGGCCAGCTTTATATCCGTCAGCAATATAGCGGCGTGCGATGTGAATGTGGGATTAATATCTGATTTGCCCGCCGGTTGGTCTCGGGGGGGGGGCCCGGTGCAGTGGAGTAGCACCGTATCCGTGCCAGTGCATCCCTCCGAGTAGATTAAAATGTCATCTGCAAGTCGTCCCTGTCGGGAGGCGGAGGCACATAGCAACGTGCGCGGTCCGCGGGCACCGGGCCACGCCGTCTGACCGAGTGGATGGTTTTTGGCAAGAGTTCACGCGTCTGCCAATTAGCCAGGAGCGGCAGTGAGCTGCAGTAACAAACGTTTAATTAAAACGACTCAAGAGAAAGCCTTCCTCTGTGAAATACAACTCGTGAAAGAAGCGATGCGTACAGCATCATAAGACCCGCTACGCAAATGCAGTACAAAAATTGTTTATATATTTTTTCCAATACATATATTTTGAAACGTTATCAAGGGTTATAATTCGTAAATATCAATTACCACAGGCGGGCCTGGCCACTGTGGGGTTTGTCTTGGGCACAGGGCTAGGAACAGATGCCTATCGCTCAGCGACGAGGGGGTAATGAACACAGCCTGATTGGCAGCAGAAGTTTGGGGCAGCAGCTGATGCTGAACATCATCCAAAGGTCAGTGCTGCTGCTGCCTCCCCCACCCTCCACCACCCCTGCCTCGGCCAGGAAACAGACTCGACGCTGGTCAGCAGCCGCTAGAATTAGCACAGAATGCCTCTTCGTGTTCAATTATTTTACACGTGCCGTAGACAACGTAAATGTTACGTTAAGTAAACCCAAAACATTAACTGCAGGACACGACGTTTCCCATAGCGTTTAATATTAACCACGTTGGATTCCAGATTTGCCCGCATGGGGGAGGGGGGGGGGAGCGTTATATTTTGGGAAAAAACTGCCTGGCTTTTGACTGCAGATTGCACGTAAATAATGGGACGTGTAGTGGTCCCACTGGTGCGAGTGGCCCCTTTCGACATTCAGATTCAGGTAATGAACGGCTCTCGTCGAGTCCTGCGAAGGAGTGCGGCTCGCCCTTAAATGCGTAACGAGCATGATGACGCACGGGCGCGAGCGACGTGGTCAGGATCAAGAGGTCGCCGTCATCATTGCCGTGGTCGTCATCGTCACTGTCACCACTACGCACGGGTCTATAGCCCTGATAACAAGTGTAAGAGCGACCAGAAAAAGAAAGAAAAAACTCCCTCGCGAAACTTTGCCCCTTCGTCTCTACACACCCAAAGGAATGAGATGAATCAAATCCATTTCAACGTGAACATCCCGTGTCACCCGAAGACATACGTGACCCCGACCGGCCCGCTGCGGCTTTGACGGTTACGTTTGGACTGATGCATAATGAAAGGAGGACAACTTGCGCAAGCCGATTCGGTACATACATATTAATAAATGCCACCTTTTATTTATCCGGGAAAGCATCGCTGAGTCTCAAGACCCCCCCCCCTCCCCGGGAGATCCAAACAGAGGCGGATGGAGCGGTTTGCAGATCGGAAAAGACAAATGAATGTGAGATATTTATTAGCCATAGGCGAACCAATAGGGAAGCCTCCGTGGGTGCATCGTCTCTGCGCCTTCATAATTATAAGAGTCGCCCCCGATTTCCCTAACCTTCTCGATGCAGCTCCTCGGGGTGGATGTGTAGGCTCTTGGGTGCAAGAGGTCGTAGCGGATAATGCCAGAGGTTCAAACTCGCCTCGCCGCGTCCGCTTGCTCCTGCCACTTCCCACGAATCGCTTGCAAATTGGACACAGACCCTGAAAACTGCAGGTCTAGCGGTGTCATCCTACTCATGGTCTTGTACACGACGCCGAGGGTAATACTTCCCCAGGGTTTAAATATCAGCCAGGTCTGTCCTGGGTGAGCTACCTGAAAAATATGCACCGCGCCCAGCACACCGCCCTGCTCGCTGTGGCTCTGGATACGAGGCACGTGGCCACACCAGTTTACCAGCGATACGGAAATATTTAGTGAGAAATTAAATTTACTTTGCTCAGTCGGTGTTAGCCGCTGAGGGCGTGACGGGTTTATATTTTCATTGCTGTTGCTGGAGGCCCCGTGTACCGTTCTGGTTCCGTTTGTAATGTGAATTGATGCCTACTTTATTGAGGACGATATTGGCACGCTAAATAAATATGAATTGATTGATTGAAACCCTGGGTGGCCACCAACACCGCCTCGCCCACAATAGGTCGTGGCCCCCTCAATGCCCCCCCCCTCCCAACCAACTTCCCCTGTTTACCGGGACATCTTCGAAAAATTGGCGGTGGAACTGGTAAATTATAAGCAGTGACCTCTCGCGCGCAGACCGATGGGGGTTCAGAGTGTGCGTTGATATGTATTGGGAGGCAGTGGCAGAGAGACTTATCAGGGAAGTAAAGAGAAACAAGAGGCAATCACGAAGAGAAGGAGAGATGGGTCCGTGTAGGGATTTACAGAGTAAGTGCATTTTTATTACGTTCGTTTCGAACGGAATAATATTTTTTTATAACTCCAATATCGAATGAAAAATGTTGCTCACAAATGTTGCTCACGGAGCCACGGAGTAGGCGCTTTATCGGCCTGCAGAGAGGAGGCTGATCAACATGGAGATGAGATGACCTTATCTTAGTCAGGGATTATACCCCGCCTATCACCTCCCCTGCGCTCCGTGTAGAAACCGGTATAATTTTGGATAAGCAGCTCAAAAAAAGATTGTCTGTTTACAGCGCTGGACGCTGCCGTTAAAATAGCAGGTGCTTGAGAATTGTCGTTGAAAAAGCATACCGTCGGCTTTTCTTTCTTCTAAATCACGCTTCATTAGATGCGCAATGATCACCGCCAGTCGGTTAAAATGCAGTTATTGTTGGTGGTGCCGTTGTCAAGTTTATAATGCCGCCT